AAACTATAAAATTACAAACTCCTTCTGAGTAATACAAGCATAACCCTCCTCAGTCACTCAGTCTGGACTCGGCACTGTATAAATACCCCATCTTCTCCCTTCATCCTTTAGTCTCTGCTCATGATGCTTCTGACTGCCTGGCTGGGGTCCTTTTGCTCTAGAGAAGTCAAGGTGGGCAAGCAGCTTAATGCCACTCTCTAGCATTTGTATCCCTGCAGCAGGGAGCAGCGGCAGGCAGCACTCTCCTAGGTAGACAGTGTAACCTAGGTAATCATGCCAGCCTAGGACTGTAGAACTCTTAGCTCTCCAAGTGTCTCCACTCTGTGTAAGCCTAAGGAGTTGAGTCTCCTTAAACCAGTGGAAGTAGCCAGTATTATAACTCTTGGGTCTAGGAGTCTGAGAGCCTTGGCCTTCTGGAACTCTCTCAGCAAGCAAAGCCTGCAGGATCTCTTCTCTGGCTCCTCCCAGCTTCCCATTGCAGTGAGATACTTTGTTTGTGTTCTGACAAATAAAGCTTCCTGGAGATCAGAGGACTGAGCTCGCCATTAGTTAACCATAAAATCTGGGCAGGCGTCACAAAACTTTAATCCCAGCATTTGTGGCTCACACCTTTAATCCCAGCCCTGGGGAGGTGGAGACAGGAAGTGATAAAGTAGGGGTGGAGACAGGGTCTGCAGTTCTTTGGTTGCAGGAAGGAGATAGATAGGAAGCAACTGGCAGCTGCTCCCGGTTTTTTAAATTAAGATTAATTAGAGTAATGCTTCATCCTATCTTACTTCTGTCTCAGTTCTCCACGTTTTCTTGACACCCCCGCCCGTTCCTGCCCTCGCCACTCTCTGGGATTGTTCAGCTGCCCATTGTTGCTATCGCTGCCATCAGGCATGCTGCTATTTGGGAGGCAGCTGCTGCCACTTTTTAATTACTGCTCCCACTGCTGCCACTGGCCACAAGTTCCGTCTCTTCCGTTATCAATGAGCCACAGCTTTGCTTCTACAGCTTAGAGTGTGCCAGCTGCTCTACTGTCACTGCTGCTTGCTTCTGGTGCTTCCTGGGTGTCACCAGCTCAACTCACAATACCAAAAGCCCACCAAAAAAGTCTACCCAGAGAAGTCTTTTAGTGTGCCTACTGTTGCAAAACCAGATATATTAGTTACCTTACTCACTACTGGGACAAAACAGCTGACAAACAAAACTTAAGGAAGGATGGGTTTCTTTTGACTCACAGAGTACAGTCCATCATCGCAGTAGGAGCAGGAGGCAGCTGGTCACACAGTGTCTGCAGTCAGGAAGTAAAGAGAGAGGAATGCTGGTTTTTGGCTTATTTCTCCTTATTTCTCCTTTTTATTCCATCTAAGACTGTCCAAGCCACGAATTGGCGCCACACATTCAGAGCTGTTCTTACTCCCTCAAACTTTTCTGGAAGCACCCTCATAGGCACAGAGGTATGTTTCTTTACTGATTTTAAAGCCAGTCAAACTAACAGTTGTGGCAGTTTGAATGAGATGACCCAGATCAACCTCAGGCATTTGAATATCTGGTACCCAGGTGGTGGCTGTTTGGGAAGAATAGGAGGTGGGGCCTTGCTGGAGGAAGTGTGTCACTGGATTTCAAAAGAGGCTGGGCGGTGTTGGCTCACACCTTTAGTCCCAACACTCAGAAGGCAGAGGCAGGCGGATCTCTGTGACTTCGAGACCACCCTGGTCTACAAGAGCTAGTTCCGGGACAGCTTCCAAAGCCCTGTCTCGAAAGAGAGAGAGAGAGAGAGAGAGAGAGAGAGAGAGAGAGAGAGAGAGAGAGAGATTTTGAAAGAGTTACACCATTTGGAATTATCCTTCTGAATTTCCTGATCAGGATAAGAGCTCTCTGCTGCTGCTCCAGCACCATGCCTGCCACGCTCTTTGCCTTGACTGACTCTCATCCATCTGGAACCATAAGCTCATAACTAAGATAGTAAAATTAGCCATCATACATGGGAGGCAGCATTGGAAGGTGTCTACCATCTGACTTACCCGGTGAGCTGAACAGCAAATCTCATGTGCAATGAAGGTTTTTGTCTACACTAATAACAGAAGACTTTGATGGCTTATATTTATACCGATCACAACAGTCCCTCTTTGTGACTCCTCAGTGACTCCTCTGACCTATGTTCATCTAAAGTTCAGTGAGGTTTGGGATAACAAAATGTCTGGTACAGTTTGAAACAGTCTTGGCTGACATTGTGCCTTCTGCCATTTTAGATGATGAAGGGAACACAGAAAAACTTGAATAATATACCGATAAGATGGCAATCATTGTGTAATTTCTTTCAGGTTATCAGTGGAATGTTCAAATGCCAGTATTGGTATACAGGTAATCCAGCTGACAGCTTGACTAACAGCTCTTTTGCTCACAGCAAACAGGGCAGCCAGAGCTGAGCAGCACCTAAGGAATGATTCCTGAAGTTGTGCTGTGATGTACACACACATACATATACACAATATATGTAGGATGGAGAGACAGCTCGGGGGTACATTGTGTGCCTAGCATTCTATAGTCCTTGGCACTACAGAACACGTGTAGAATAGTTGAGTGACCTGATGTTTAAAGATGTTACCAGATGCCTGATAAAAGCCACAGTGCTGTGGATGTCCATGTCATAGCAGTGAACCACATGAAGTCCTCACTTCTAAAATGTTTCATAAAAAATGAGAAAGTTAATACACTATTTTTTTTTTCAGTTTTTAGAGACAAGGTTTCTCTGTGTAGCTTTGGAGCCTATCCTGGCACTCACTCTGTAGACCAGGCTGGCCTCGAACTCACAGAGATCCGCCTGCCTCTGCCTCTCGAGTGCTGGGATTAAAGGCGTGCGCCACCATGCCTGTTTTATGTCATGCTGGGAACTGAACCCAGGACTTCCATCTTTTCATGATGAACTATGATGTGGAAAAGTTAGGCAAATAAACCCTTTCCTCCCCAAGCTGCTTTGGGCATGGCGTTTCACCACAGCAAAAGTAACCGTAACTAGGACACCCAGTGCTGAGATTATAGGCATGTGCCACCATGCCTGTTTTATGTCATGCTGGGAACTGAACCCAGGACTTCCTGCATATTAGGCAAGTACTCTACCAATTGAGCTACATCCCTAGCCCAAGTTAGGGCTTTAAAAGTGACATAATAATGCTACATTTTAAGTGTAGTGCTGGAGATAAAACTTGGAAATAAAAGACTCACCCACCATGCACAAAGGCTACGGACTTGATGCCCAGCATTAGGGGGGGGAAATCTAGACTTTTTTTTTTTTTTGCAGATTTTTTTTATTTGAATTAGAAACAAGATTGTTTTACATGACAATCCCAGTTCCCTCTCCCTCCCCTCCTCCCCTACCCCCCCCACTAAAACCCTACCTATCACATAGCCTTTCTGCTCCCCCTGGATGATGAGGCCTTCCATAGGGTGTCATCAGAGTCTGTCATATCCTTTGAGATAGGACCTAGGCCCACACCGCCCCCCCCCCCCCCTGTGTCTTGGCTCAGGGAGTATTCCTCTATGTGGCATGGGCTCCCCAAGTCCACACCTATGCTAGGGATAAGGACTGAACTGCTACAGGAGGTCCCATAGCTTTCTGAAGTTTCCTCACTGAAACCCATGTTCCTGGGGTCTGGATCAGTCCCATGCTGGTATCTCAGCTATCAGTCTGGTAGACTTTAAGTGTGTCTTAATAAGGGTTCCTAAAAACACCATGTTCAAAAAGCAAATTGGGGAAGAAAGGGTTCATTTGGCTTACACCTTCATATCATTGTTCATCACCAAAGGAAGTCAGGACAGAAATTATAACAGGGCAGGAACCCGGAGGCAGGAGCTGATGCAGAGGCTATGGAGGGGAGCTGCTTACTGGCTTGTTCCCCGTAACTTGCTCAGCCTTTCTTATAGAACCCGGGTCTACCAGTCCAGGGGTGGCACCATCCACCATGGGCTGGGCCCTCCCCATCAATCACTAATTTAAAAAATGCCCTATAGCTGGATCTTATGGAGACATTTTCTTAACTGAGGTTCCCTCCTTTCAGATGACTCTAGCTTATGTCAAGTTGACGTAAGACTAGCCAGGACAAAGTAGAAATGGAAATCAACAGAGAATACAGACATGGAAGACTGACTGATGATCCTAGGCTATGGCCTTGAGCATACAAGGTAAATTCTACCACTGAGCTATATTGCCAGCCTAGAGATTCCAATTATATACTAAAGTGTCAACATTAGTTATCCCCGTTAGAAAAGTTTTAGGTTTTCTTCTCATTTTGCATATGAATATACATATGTGTGGGGATAGACATATATATACATATATTTTTTTTTCATCACCTAACCAATGTTCTTGAGAATCATTCATGCCAGGTGATGGTGGTGCACACCTTTAATCCCAGCACCTGTGAAGCAGAGGCAGGCTTATCTCTTCAAGTTCTAGACCAAGTTCTAGGAGAGGCTCCAAAGCTACAGAGAAACCCTGTCTCAAAAAACAAAACCAAAAAACAATCATTCACTCATAGCTGGGCTTACAGGCATGCACCATCACACTGGTTTATGGAGATGGGAATGGAACCAGGACTCCAAGCGTACTAGGTAGTCACACTACTAACTAGTCACATCTCCAGCCCCTTGGGTTTTCTTGTTGTTTTGTAATTTTTTGTAAAAGTTATTTGGAGTTGATATAACACCCACACTTAATGTTAAGATTATCTTTAGTCATTAATATTAAGGGCTGTGAATGAAACTCAGTGTAGAGAATGACTTTGCATGTGCAAAGCTCTAGATTCCATCCCCAGCACTTGAAGAAAAAGACCAAATCATTTACCATTTATCAAATACATGGCTGCTATTTAAAACACATGGAACATCTATGTGAGTTCAAGGCCAGCCTGGTCTACAGAGCGAGTTCCAAGACAGGCTCCAAAGCAATACAGAGAAACCCTGTCTCAAAAAACCAAAATAAACAAAACAAAACAAAAAACACACACATGGAACAATTATAAATACAAACAATATATTTTATTTCATCCCTGAAAACAATGACAAAACCAGAAATGTTCACAACTCCTCTGAGACTTAACAAGTGCTTCAGACTTCACCTAGCAATGAAACAAAATTTCTTCACATAAAGTACAGGGAAGACATTTCAGAAAGCTATCTTTCATGAAACAATATATTCTTATACTTATTTTAACAAAATATTTAATCACTGTTACTGTTTGTGGTGGCATGTTATAATAATGAACAATATCGAAAACTAAGTTCAATTTAGTCTAAATCTAGAGGCTAGCTCCACATCAGCAGCCATTATATAGAATAAATACTACGAAATATAGAATACTATATAGCAATTGGATTTGCTACAAAATATATTTAAATAAAGACGTGTTTTGATCTATACTGGAATCAACCAAGTTAAGATTTCTTGTGCTGTATATAGTAGCTGTTTCCCTAAAAAGATAATCATCCTCATAATTTATATTTTAATGTTCTTAATTTTGTAAAGTGGTCATTTATGTAAAATGAGTAGCTAATTGGAGATCTCCTAACACCAGATACTCTTACATAACACCAACTAACATTAACATTTTCCAAGCAGTTTTGTGCAGCACAAATACATTTATTATATACATCTGGCTAATGCCCTCAAGTCCCTTCCTTCCTCCACCATCATAACCAAAGCAACATTTACCAAAACATGGAAATAATGATAGCAGAAACAGTCAATGAGCTAAATATTTTCCTTTTCCTTTTTTTTAGATAGCGTCTGCTCTGTTGCCCAGGCTGGCAGTGAACTTGCAGGCCTTGGCCTCCTGAGTATCCATGTCTACAAGCTTATGACACTGGAATTTACTTTCAAATCAACAATCATGATTGTGAAAAATCACGCATTTTATTTTTCATCTCATCATAAAAATATGTATTATTATGCAGAATATATGTAAGAAATTTTTAAGCAGGAGATTAGAGACTACTCTCCTTTCTATTAAGTAGTCCCCAATGGTCAGGCTATGGACAGTGGCTGCTACCCATTTCAAAAGTATACTCTTACAAATGCTAGTTTTAAAAATATACAATTAACCTTCAGTTATTTTGAAGGATAGTGCAAATGAAAACATTCTTTGGGTCTATTTCAAAACATGATTTTCAGCATGACACTTCCTTTTCCTGCTCATATTCTGAGTAACAAAATATAGTACTGAAACTAAGCATGTTTTCTACTCACAGGGATATCATGAGGGCAGATGACAGAATGACTCAGTAACATTATTGTCCACTTACCTGAAAACCATGTTATACACTTAAATAAATATTTTATAGAAAGGACCCAATGTCTTTCTAGTGTTTTTGTTTTCTCTTGATCTCGAATACTAAACATGTCTACAAAGATGGCCTCCCGGCTTACCACATCCAATGTCTTACAAACTCCCATTCAGCATACAGAACAGCACTGAAGAGCTTTGTGTGAAAGCAAACTAATAACGCCTGCAAGTTTATATACAGAATTAGCATCCTATGAATCCAGCGAGCTCCTTGGCAATGTGGAGGGCTTCTATGGTCAAGTATGACTCTGTCCTAGGCAGCAGTTTAAGAGGTGTCCTGCGATGGATGGATTCCACAGTGGTGTAGCCCTGCAAGGTGGCCTTCACTGCTATCTGACACTGCCCGATGCACTCGTCCTTTTGTTGGTGGTTACCGGCACCAAGTTCCCACTGGTGCCATTGGTCGTATTGGTTGCTGAACCATTCACAACAATATAGTCGACCTTGTTCTCCAGTTTCACCAAGCGTTGCAAAATGTCATCTAAGAGGACTGCAATCGTTCTCTTCAGATCCGCTAAGGGGAAAAATGAAAATACATCATATTAAATAGCAGTAGAGCACTTATTATTTGTGTCTTTGCAGCTTAAGGGAGAGAGGTAAACAATTATCAGGACATCTGAGAGGAAATATGCTAGCGAGAATGCACTCAGACCCAGACAGGGAAAGCTGGATCACTTTCATCACTAGCTCCACACCCAAAGCAAGAGAGTTACAACACAACAGGAACTCGCCCTTCTGAGAGCAGTGCATCATCATCAGCCCTCTGTAAGGTGGGCTCTCACCAGCTATGTTAGCATCTCTTGACATGCTATGCTGTTTCTTGAGCAGTGTATACACAAGGCTTGGACCAGCAGGTAAAGTATTGGTAGAGGCAGGTAAAGAGAGCTATGTAAGCAATCCAACCAAACACAAGCAAGACACCTGGACCATTCAGACTGGAGCAGGAGTGGGAAGCCAAGGCACAGGGTGACCTTCTCTGAGGACTGCTATGCTCTAAGTTATTCTAGAGTTTGAAACTACTTTCAGGCTTGGCCTGGGTGACTCCAGGTTACCAAGCAGCCCTTGACTCCATATTGAGGACAAATGCAGAGGCTTCTGATTTTGCATCTTGTTTGTGTGCAGACAATACCACAGAACAACACTAACCATGAGGCATTAACTGTCAACTTCTCAATATGAGCAAAGAAGTGCACACCAGACCCAAAAGGATGCAACACCCTCACCTGGATGCCATAAAAAGAGAGATACCAGGGGGCTGGAGAGATTGCTGCTCTTCCAGAGGACCAGGGTTCAATTCCCAGCACCCACATGGCAGCGCACAACTGTCTGTAACTCCAGTTCCAGAAGATCCAACACCCTCACACATGCAGGCAAAACACTAATCACCACTCATAAAATTTAAAAATTATAGCCGGGCGGTGGTGGCGCATGCCTTTAATCCCAGCACTCAGGAGGCAGAGGCAGGAGGATCTCTGTGAGGTTGAGACCACCCTGGTCTACAAGCGCTAGTTCCAGGACAGCCCCCAAAGCCACAGAGAAACTCTGTCTCAAAAAAAAAAAAAAAATTAAAAAATATGTAAAAAAAGACAGCTAACACTGAGATGATGCACGCAGGGCACCACACACACACAGACACACACACACACACACACACAGACACACACACACACACACACACAGACACACACAGACACACACACACACACACACATACACACACAGAGACACACACTCACACACACACACACACACACATACATACACACGGTGATACACACAAACACATATCTGAGAGTTATTAGCAATTAAATTGAAATAAAATATCTCATGTCCTCACTGTGAGGACAACTAGAACCATCTGGAAAACTGCAGTCAATGAAACCAATAAAGCTTGTAAATTTACTGTCATTGCATTAATTCTGACCTTGTGGTAAGACAAACTGGATGCACACACAGGAGACCTAGCCAGGGCAACAGGCATGCCACCTAGTTCTAACTTTAATTTCTTCCGGAAAAATGACAGTTACTCTAGTTCTTAACCTCTGTGACAGGTTAAGGGGCTTAATTAGACTGTTCCTAGCTAGAAAAAAAAAAAAATGGATTGTTCTTTTTGGAAATAGTCCCTTCAGGTTTTTCACTGGCATTTCACAGATATTAGGTAGTCAATAGTGGCAACTGATATTGTTATTTTTTATCGATCCTGGACCAAAAAGGAAAGCATCTAACACCAGCTGACAAAGCTGCTTGCAGCTGTGCTACTACCAGAAAAGGTATGAGATAAAAGGGAAAAAAAAGGAGTAAGCTGGACTCCATAAAAACTAAAACCTTTGCAACACCAAAAGATGAAGAGTCAGCAAGACATCTCAACAGGTGAAGGCAGTTGCTACCCAACAATGCAAACCTAACAAACTGAGTGTGATCCTTGGAATATACACAAAGGTGGAAACAGTGAAATGACTCCAGAGAGCTGCTCTCTGACCTCACACATGTGCCTGCTGTAGCATATACCATCCCCCCCTTCAAAAAATTAAATAAATAAAATAAAAAGTAAAAAGGAAAGCAAGAGGACAATCCTACAGAACGGGAGACCATTGTTGCAAATCATATATCTTGTGGTGATACATTGTTTATCATCTAATAAAGCCACTAGACATCAGTTTGAAAGATGAGCCACATTAGTTAGCTGTAGAAACCAGCCCGTGGTGGCCACTGGGGGAGGGAGGGGCATCTCTCTGAGTTCAAGGCCACCCTGGCCTACACAAGAGTGAAGAGTAATAGAGCTCACACCTTTGATCCCAGCACTAGGGAGGTGGAGACAGGAGTGATATGACTGGGCAGAGAAAGGAATACAAGGAGGAGACAGGAACTGAGAGCTTTTGCCTCTGAGGATCCTGGAGACAGGACTGCCATTTCAGCTGGGTAGAGTTAAGATCTACTGGCTTGGCTGCTTTGCTTCTCTGATCTTCAGCTTGAAGCTTGAACCCCAATATCAGTCTCTGGGTCATTTAATTTTTCGTAATCCTCAAATTCAAGAACAAAAAGACAATCCAAATTAAAAACAGGCAAAGATTCTTGCTTCTAATCAGAGTGTGGGGATGGGGAGATAATTGTGCCAAGCAAAGAGAAAATCAGGTTTCTCCAATCCACATGCCACTGGGTCTACCAACCATAATCTAGGGCAGGCCCCATACCCAGGAGTAGTATAGAGCAACAGAAAACAAATTCAATGGTATTTTCGTAGACCCTTTGTTTTATTTTGCTTTGTTTGGCCTTTTTCTTTCTTTGTTTCTTTCTTTGTTTCTTTCTTTCTTTCTTTCTTTCTTTCTTTCTTTTTTGTCTTAATTTTGATGGTCATTTGGTCATTTTTGTGGGGTTTTTTGTTTTGTTTTGTTTTTTGGAGGGGTTATTGCTTTTGTTTGCTTTTCTTTTCTTTTTTTTTTTTTGAAATCAAGAAAATGAAATGGCATGAAGTTGGTAGGGAGGGAAATAGAGGAAGACCTGGGAAATTCTTAATAAAAAGATGGAAAAAATAGTTGGGCCAAGGAGCCACGTCCAGATGCAGCCCGCCTGCTGCAGCTCTACCAGGCCCGCCCCTGGGACATGCTGATAGCAGCATTACACGGTAGAGGCCAAGGCTACCAGGAACATGCATCAGAGGAGGGCAGAGTTTGTTTGCAACCCATCAAGCAGGCAACGGTCCAGATGCCTGTGCAAACTCCACACGAGCCGTTCATAAGAGTGGGCAGTGAGGCTGGGCAGTGGTGGCACACGCCTCTAGTCCCAGCACTCGGGAGGCAGATGCAGGTGGATCTCTGTGAGTTTGAGACCAGCCTGGTCTACAGAGTGAGCGCCAGGACAGGCTCCAAATCCAAAGAGAAACCCTGTCTCAAAAAACAAAACAAACAAACAAACAACAAACAAAAAGTGGGGAGTGGGTGAGTGTGAGAGACTGACCCAGAAGGACCTTAACATAGGCCTGTTACTGCTCCACCAAGGAGCTCCCTTTAAGACACTGAGATGGCAAATACATACAAAGTATATATATTTTTAAAATGAGCAAAGGAAGGGCTAGGGAGATGGCTCAATGGTTACGGGCACTGGCTACTGTTGCAGAGAATCCAGGTTCATTTCCCACATGATGGCTCACAGTCATGACTGGATGAGGACCTGACACTCTCTGTGGGCACTGGCATGCAGGTGACACACAGATATACATGCAGGTAAAACACTCAAGCTCATCTAAAAAAGTAAATCTGAAAAAAAAAAAAAATGAGCAGAGGACTTGAACAGACACTTCTCCAAAAAAGATACTGGAATGACCAACAAGCACAGGAGGAAATGCCCAACACCACTGCCCATTAGGGAAATTCACAATGAACCACAAGTCTCCAGCTGGCACCTGCAGGACAGCCATTACCAAGGCAGGAGGGTATCTGCAAAGATGGAGGAGGACCGAAAACTTCATACATCCCCAGCGGGAATATAAAATGGTGTAACTGCTACAGAAAAAGAGTTTGGCAATTTTTCAAAATAGGTAAATATAACTCAAGAATTTCACTCCTAGGAATAACACACTGGAAATTTAAAGGAATCAAAGAAAGATTAAATACCAATGTTGACTGCAGCCTTACCCACAAGAGACAAAAAACGTGGAAACAAATCAAATACCTATCAGAGGATGAATGGACAAACAGATGTGTTACATACACACAGCAGAACATTATCCGGCCATAAAAAGGAATGATGGCCTGATTCGGGGTACAACATAAAAATATTGTTACCTTGGAAATATTATGCCAAGGGAAATAAGCCATACACAACAAGTAAAATACCATGATTCTACTTTCATGAGATTATCTAAAATAGGCAAGTTCACACAGACAGAAAACAAGCTAGAGGTTACCAAGGGATGAGCAAAAATCAAAATTTACTAGTATTCAGGTCCCTTCAAGGATACCTAAAAAGGTACTGCTCGACAGTTTCTAGATGGGAGTCATGTGAGTTTTGGGAAGAGTGTGAGACCTAGGCAATGTGGGACTGGCATGACAAATGTTGCTCAAACTTCCCTGTGTTGAGTGACTGCTGTCCCACTGTGGTGGTTTCTCCTGGGGAAGGTGACAGAAGCCTTAGGAGGCGCAGCCTGGGAGAGGAGGTCCATCACTGGAGGTGGACCCACACCTCCCCCTTTCCTGGAGGTTGATGAGATTGTGATGGCCAATTTCCAGCCCCTTTTGGAAAGCCTTCCTTGCCTGTTGCCATGCCTTCCTAGCAGTTATGGACTCCATCCCTCTGGAAATGTAAGTAAGCCAAAATAAACACTTTCTCCCCAAAGTCACTTTTTGTCAGGGTATTCTCCTACAGCAACAGAAAGTAACCAATACATACATCTCTGTGAACGTAATTAGCACCAAGGAATGATATGTACTTAAAATAAATGTGATAGTTTGAATATAATTGGCCTTATAACGTCATAGGGAATGGGATGTGTGGCCTGGTGGAGTGGGCATGGCCTTGTAGGAGGAAGTGTGTCACTGTGGCTGGGCTTTGAGGTTTCCTATGCTAAGGACACCGCCCAGTGTATCAGTCAACTTCCTGTTGCCTGCAAGATGTAGGACTCTCAGCTACTCCTCCAGCCGCTTCTGCCTTCATGCTACCATCTCCCCGCCATGATGATAATGGACTGAACTTCTGAAACTGTAAGTGAGCTGCAATTAATAAGTGTTGCCATGGGGGCTGGAGGCAGAGGCAGGCTGATCTCTGTGAGTTCGAGGCCAGCCTGGTCTCCAGAGCGAGTGCCAGGATAGGCTCCAAAGCTACACAGAGAAACCCTGTCTCGGGAAAAAAAAAAAAAGAACAAGCTGGGCTGTGGTAGTGCACACCTTTAATCCCAGCAGAGGCAGAGACAGGAGGATCTCGGAGGATCTCTGTGAACTGAGGCCAGCGGTCAACAGAGCCAGTCCAGGACAGCAGGGCTACACAGAGAAACCCTGGCTCAGTGGAGGAAAAAAAGAAAACAAACTTAAAACAAGCCAGTTGTGGTGCTGCACACCTTTAATCCCAGCAATCAAGAAACAGAGGCAGGTGGATCTCTGAGTCAAGGACAGCTTGGTCTACAGAGTGAGTTCCAGGACAGCCATGTAGAAAGATCTTGTCGCAAAAACAAAACAAAACAAAACAAAACAACAACAGGAACATAAGATTTAACATGGAGATTTGCAATAAGCAATGCTGGGACTATAGGAAATCCTGTTTCTTGGAACTTAATTGATATTGTCCATTTGCCGTTTTATATTGAGAAATCAAAAAGAAAAATCAAGGAAATGCATATACATATATATAAAAAACAATTGCACTGTATTAAATACTCATTCTAAAATGTACATAATATACCTTATATGTACATATTTTAAAGAGATGGATACGTAGTGAAATGTCACAATTTCTATAACGTCCTTAAACTATAATAGATGTGAACTATTAATAACAAATCTATGTGAGGACTATATGAGTACTGTCTTCCTACTTTACATTTGAAAATATACATGTGTAGTTTCTAAGAAATCAGTTTATAGAAAGCACACATGGATGCTGAGCTCATTCCTGGGACTATCTAGATGAACCCATGAATGGGCTGGAAAGGAGAAGACGAAGACGTGCCTCGGTTCTTACCGTAGCCGGCCATGGATGCCCCACTGTCTACATCCACCATGCTCTTGCTCTCCTCTGCCAGGGCTTTCACGTATCTCTTGCTTAAATCTAGGATTTGCTCCCGTAACTTGACGCTGCTCTGGTGTCTTGGCTGTTGAAAAGTATAGTGAAGTAACATCAGCCCCCAGATGAGTCCGAACACCAGCAACAGGAAACTCAGTTTCTGGGACATATTTTTTCTTGAGATTGTAAAGCTCATTTCTGATGAAGTAAACAGACTTGATTGAGAAGCAACAACTGGAAAGGAGACACCAGATAATCAAGGCTTTTGAGAAGGAAGAAGAGCTCTCTAGTGCTGTGTGTCCATATTCAGCATGGTGGCCTCCGCTTTGACATAACTGTAAACAAAGAAAAAAGGGGTCACTGTCACCTATATTGGTATTAGGATAAATAGTGAAAGTTCTAGAGTTCTGGTTTGTTACCATGCCATCTTCCCTGAGAACTTTCTCTGTCATATAACAAGCTTCCTGATCACCTGTCAGTTCCATTTGCAAACATTTTTTTCAAAATTAAACTAGAAATAAATATAAATTTGTTGGCGAATATCTGAAAATTATGCCACCTTAGTCATAAAATTTTGAATGACTTCTCATCTGTCTCACAGTAAAGCCATTGATAGATAAGTTTTACAGATAATAGATTTCCAAGATCTGTCTGTTCAAACACACCCACCAATGCAAACACAAAGGTAATTCCTAAAGTAAGCAAAAACAGGAATGTCAAAATAAAAGTTAGAAATGATGAAAAAGCAAATACAGAAAATCAAAATGCCAGCCGGGCGTTGGTGGCGCACGCCTTTAATCCCAGAACTTGGGAGGCAGAGGCAGGCAGATCTCTGTGAGTTCGAGGCCAGCCTGGTCTACAGAGCGAGTGCCAGGATAGGCTCCAAAGCTACAGAGATGTAGCTGTCTCAAAAAAAAGAAAGAAAAAAAGAAAGAAAGAAAGAAAGAAAGAAAGAAAGAAAGAAAGAAAGAAAGAAAATAAAAATGAAAATGCCTATCTAACAAAAATTTCTATAATTAAATAGGTACCAACATTCGACATGTCACTAGAAGGTGTCACTAATGAGAATGCATTAACCCTACAAAGCATCCAACACAACATGGAAAGCAATCAAGGGAAAGGTTATCAAAACCAATCATGGAAGTTGGAAAGACCTAAAATTTAAAAATAATATTTTTAGACCACCAAAATATGCAGGGAAGAAAGGTCTGGTTCCATCACCCAAAAGGGAAAATGTAATTGAAGTAAAAATCTATGGTGCATTTCCCATGACTGCTTCATAGCTTACTAAAAACAATCTTTTGGGATGCTTTAATTTCTGCAATGAGAACAAATGAACTCAATTTTACTCCATTTACTAAGGAATGACAAAACTAAATATAACCTACTTTGAGAACATGACTAAAGGTGAACACAGTACAATAATGTACAGTACCCAGCAGTATGCAGAGGCACACATCTGCAAATCCCAGCACACCGGAGGGACACGGATCGTGGCAAGCCCAGGATAACCTAGGCTGCACGTATGGGAGTGTCAAGTCAGTCTCAGCCACACAGCAGGACAAACACCCAGTCCACAGAACAATAAATAGCTTTCATTCTGCACACTGAGTTAGGTATGAGGGATGCTCTATAGTTCTACCCTAGAAATTTGCTTTCTAGCGTAGATGCTTTCCATTTTTTGTTTTACTTGAGACAAGCTCTCATTATGTGGCCCTGGATGGCCTGGGACTCACTATGTCCTTCAGGCTGTCCTCAAATTCACACAGATCCCTCTGCCTCGCATATCAGTGTAAACGGGCTCTTGTGTGTCTTCAAATACAAGCTACAGATTATACTATGTGTCTTAGCACCCCATGACAAAGAACACTTGGACTCTCCTGAATTGGTCAGTTAGTTCAAAAGTGGGCAAGACTGCAACTCCAGAAACGTGAGAGAACTGAGAACACAGACAGCTAGGTGAAGATTTAAATGACAGCTGAGAAAGAGAACGGAACAGCAGGAGAGGGAAAGCACATCCAATGTATTCTAACATGACACATACATGCTGAAACATGGGAAAGGAGGCCTTTGTTTGCCATAAGTCAACTGGAAGGGCAGAAAGGCTGTGTGTATGGCGAAAACACTGCAATTTATAACGTAACAGTCCTGACCATGAGCAATGTGTTTAAAACAGCACGAGGCATGCACAGTGCAGCATGGCATGCTGTGTGTTCACAACCAAGGCTACATGTGCAACCTGGACCAACACTGCCACAAACACCTTGGGTTCACTGCACATTTGGTTTTAAATTCACTTCTGGCTGTTGCACATTTGGAAATCTTTTACTGTTGCTCAATTTTAAAAATTCAATAAATTACTCAATCCCAGACGAAATAATTGTTCAGTGTAAGACACTGGACTCTGACCGATAAGATCTGACTATACCATCAGTCAGAAAAAGAGATCTTCATAAAGGCAAGAACATCCCAACATGGACCTAGAGAGTATATCTGCTCAATACTGATATGGGGGGAATCCAGGTCTCCTCTTGGGATTTTTTTTTTTCACTGTGCAGCACTGGCTGTCCTGAAACTAGCTCTGTAGACCAGACTGGCCTTGAATTCACAAAGATCTGCCTGCCTCTGCCTCCTCGGTGTTGGGATTAAAGGCACCACCACTGCCCAGCAGAGTTCTTAATCTTATTAATAAAAAGATTTTAAGAATAGACACAAAGCACAGCCCAAGGAAATTTTTACTACTGTTAAACAGGAAAACCCCAGGGCAGGCAAACAGTAAATCTCAAAAGATTGGAAGTGAGACACGTAACTGACAAGCAGCAACATGGTTGGGCGGGGAGCTTAAAGAAAACGCAAGCACAAAATATCGGGGAAATGAAAGGCACTAAGAAAAGCATGCTTAGAAAAAAGAGAACTAAAAAGAGAAGTGATACTTGACTAACAGCCAGCAGGCTCATCTTCAGGCAGCAGTGGCCTGGTAAGCTCTAGGGGTGGGACCAGGAAGGAAGGACTAATTATCACACCTATCTCTTTAGCGTGGCTTACTGGGGCAGTTCTTAGATCAAGGGCTTGGCCATGCCCAACTGGAAGGTTAGGTCTCCATGCAGGCCAGATTCCCTTTCCTTGACCATGAGTTTCTTCTACTCTTAACAACACTCACTCAGCCTTCCACAAAATAAAATGCCTACTTACAAAACGCCCACCTCTGCAGGAAGTCAGGGTCTTGGACAGACATAAACATAACAAGGAATATATGTTTTGAAATTTGGCAGTGTCTGCTACATGATTTCTCATGGTAATGAGACATTTATTATGAAAGGGTTTTGCCAATGTGGTATATACACACAATAGAGGTTTTATTCAGCCACAATGAAAAACAAACTTACAGGAAAATAGACAGAACTGGAAATCATCTATAAACGGAACAGGCTAGTCTCACAAAGTGCCATGTTTTCTCTCACAGATGTCAGTTAACTTTAAAAGAAGGAAATGAAAGGAGGAACAATTTGGAGTATAAAAGAAAAAGAAGACAAAGAAGGTAACAGACGGGGTGAATATTATAAAAGAATGTTCTATGCGTGTATGAAAATATCAACGAAACCCATTGCTTTGTACAGCTAATAAGAGAAATGTAAAATAAAAAGAAAAGGGTTGTCTTGAATATCAAAGGTTTGAGGGGCTGGGAGCACCTGATCCCACTCTACAGTGGGGCACTCTGAAAGGACATCAAAGAATAAAGTAGGCATGGATGACAGACGGAAAAAAGAACACTCTAGAACTTTCCCAAGTTAAAAAGATGTCCAGGAGCCAGCGTATGTCTGACAAAGGGCTGAAAAGTTCCAAAGTTCAAGAGGATTCCCTGAAGCACCTAAGAATTAGTGTGAGAATCACACAAGCAATTCCAAGCAACACAGGCAGAAGTTACTGAGGTTTTTAAAGGTTCACAGCTGCCTTTGGTCTTTCTCAGGTAATGTTTTACATTAAATGACCTGGCCAGATTTTTTATAACCCCAGTACCAAATCACACCCTATATCAAATAAATTAGAGTGGGGAGCCTCATCTTTGTTTTTGTTTTGCTTTTTAATGATGTGTAGTGAGCCTTGTGCATGGCGGACAAATGTTTTCCCTACTACTGAGCTATGCTCTTAGCCAGCATCAGTATTTAAAATTGCCACTGCTTTGAAACAAAGGTCATAATTTGCACCTCAGGCTGGCCTCTGTCATTTTACTTCAGCCTTTACAAGTGCTGGATTACAGATGTGTGCTGCCTATCATGCCTGCTGCTACCAATATTTTTAAAAAGAACACTAGTTAGTCCTCAATGTACAGCAAAGACAGAGAAGAACACTGCCCAAAATGTCAGACCTTTTCACAAAGTGGAGCAGCACCAACAGCTGCAGGAAAGGTGTGTATATTCCAAGTTAAAATCAGTTCATTTGCTGTGACATCAGAACCCTGCTGCTTGGACCTGGGTATGGGAGGTAGAAAACCAGTGACCTTTACTGGAACACAGGTTGTTAAGGCAGGGCTGGCCAAGTCCCCATTTCTTACTAGGCAAGCGTGAAGGAGAAAAGCCAACTCCACTGAATGAACCAATCCATGTCAACATGAACACATGACCCTGATCTCTGGGATTTACATCTATGTTTTCAATAGGAAGGTGACAGACAAGGAATTTGAACTTTCAGCAACTAATGGTAATTTACTTAAATACTTTTAGTGATTGGAGAAGAAATAATTGTTAGCTTTAATTAGGAAAAAGAGAGGACTCAGTGTGTTTTTCTGTATAATGTTCAAGCTTCAAATGACAGCAAAGCCTCCACTTTAAACACCCCATTTTCTTTGTGTTTCAAATACTGCCCTGGAACTTGGAAAACCATGTTACAGCACTCAGAAACCTGACATGCCAACAACATCACTAAGCGGTTCTGGGTCACCACCATTATAATAGCCTTTCCCTGACCCAAATGGACAGCAATCTAAAAATTATATTTTTTCTAGTGCTGGCGACTGAACCCAGGACCTTTCCACTGTGATACAGCCCCCGATCCTAAAACACTCTTCAATCTTATTACACTTTCTAAAGTCTACTAATGACTTTAGAAAGTAAAACACAACTATATCCCCAAGTAATACCCAGAATTTTTAAGGTAAAATGTGATTATCGTCACCATTTCCATCATTATCATTTTGATCTAGGATAGCTGCTTAAACATTCCTAGGGGAAAATTTCCACCTGCAGAAAATAAAAAAAGGAAACCATCTTTCCAGCATGTGGTAAATTGAATGAGATTGGCCCCATAGATTCATATATCTGAATAACTGGCCTCTAGCTGGTGGAACTGTTTGGAAA